TGTTTCTGTGAATTGTACAATGAATAAAACATAACGATAATAAATAAATAAAAACGATTTACCCATAGGTACAATTTATTGTATAATGATATGAATAAAGATAATGATAAACGACAATATGAGTTCATATACAAAACCCCGTTGAGTCGAGAACGATTCGTCAACGTTCTTTCGTTAAATTAATGCGATGATAACCGTAATGTGCGAGCGATGGATTAAATTGAATTAAGCTCGACACGTGCCACCTCCGTTCACGTATGTCATAACTACAGTATATCATATTATTGTAATATAATAGTATATACTTTATTATAGTGTACTTATTTATTATTATTCAGAAGACGTAAACACCACGGTCGTGATGACAAGCGGCGCGTTCCCGTGTTACGGAATTATCGAACAGGGACAAATGGACGCGGCCGTTTAGACGCGGCTATTTGGACGCCAAGTAATTTAGACACTGTTGTTTGGGCGCTAATATATTTGAACGCGAGGACAATATTATAGTTATTCAATTCTTTATTTTTACTAATACCAATGACAATAAAATATAAATATACGTATATATTATAGTAGAATTATCATAAAGCATAGTTTATAAGAATACATTTTATTCAAATATTCATAATAATAAAAAAAAAAAATTGCTAAAAAAATATAATAGTTAAAAATAAATAAACATATAGGTATATATTATAGTATATTATCATAAAACATAGTTTATAAGAATACATTTTATTTAAATATTTCTAATAATAAAACAAATTAATCAATACTAGTCTAAACGATTTCGTGCCTAAACGATAACGTAGGATAAATCATAATATCGTGATAAAACTATGATATTAATTATAATTATTAATTTTATCCTCGCCTCTAAATGTACTGGCGCTCAAATGGCTGCGTCTAAATGACTTCGCGTTCAAACGGCCGCGTCCATTTGTCCTGGATCGTAGAATAATTGCGGATTGTACCCGCATGATCTTGAGACGATTTTTTTGTACGATATAAAAATTATATACGCACCGGACACACACCGACCAAATCATTGTTAATTTATTGACTAATTAGTGGTAAATTTACGATTTGTGTGTCCTTCAATCGATAGCCATCAAATTGTCGTGCCAATATTTTAGTCTACTGATTCTCCGCAGTTATTTGAATAACGCAGCCACTTTCAAAATATTGCTCTAGTATACCATTCAAAATTATATTTAATTGTATATTATTTATACATTTAACATATGCATATATATATATATATATATGCATATATATATATTGTATACATATAAATTAGTTTTTAAATTAAAAAGCTACTGGAGTTTGGAGTTCTGAATTTACTATACGCAGCGATTGAACAATCATCCAGAAGCAATTACGACATCGAGATTGCATTCACCGTTCATTATTATAATTCAATTTAAACGTTACATCCCAGATTGACATTGTATAGCTATAACGAAGAGTCTAATTTTTACAGTACAATATTCAATATTAATAATAATTTAATCGAACAATTTTTTTTTTTTTTACACACAACCTGTATTAAGTTGTCAGTCTTGTCGTTCACCTCCATCGATTTTTATTTTTATTTTTTGTCGTCTTAATTATTTTATGATGGCGTGTACGTATTCACATACTACAATAATGATAAAAATAATAAATATACCTTTAAAAAAAGTATAGAACAAGTAGCAGTAGGCATTAAGTCTTCGAAATTCTTCGAGAGAGTTCCAAATTGTTTAATTATTCTACCGGAGATTACATCCCAAACCTACTCAACAGAATTATGTATGTGTTATCATGAAAATAATTTATCCCCAATCAACTTTTTAGCCCCACCAACTATGACTTTAGATTATATGATAATAAAATCAATAATAATTTGTACCTATAAATACTGCAAAGGTCTTATAACTAAGGTGACTAAAAACGTCGGCTAAACGGCGCACCGGGTATACGATATAGATATACTTGAGCGTACAAGCAAACATTTATTTTATTATTCAATTTAAACAATTCACGTATAACAAGCGTAAGCGATAATAGCATTAAATTAACTGAAAATCTTTCGGAAATAAACCATCTAATGATGACACTCCTTTGGTTGTGATTAAAAGGTTAGGTTAGACGCACGGAGTAGATAAAAACGCCATTTTTTTAATTCTTAAACGCAGCGGCAATAAAAAAGTAAAAATTAGTAACAACCATAATAACAGCTGTGTTACCTATGTAAATAAAATAGTATAATTACGTGTAACTTGGTAAGTGGTTGTACCAATAGGGAGTTGTTAAAAACCCTGTACCGTTAAACGAGCACGTTCGGCCACGATAAATCAATTTCTATTTTTATTTATTTTTTATTAGAATTGCTATTTTTCCTCTTTCTATGCGCGTTTATAATAACATAACAATATAAAGGTACTGTATATTTTGGCTCGCGATTTCGTAATATTACACTACGCCGCCATGTAATCAAAATGGGATTTCGACAAACGATATATCATAACCATCGGATATTGCATACCATATACGCCTTGTAAAACAGCGAGTTTTCTCAAACGAGCGGTACTCGCATTCTCCAAGTCCGTACTTTAAGACCCATCCCGTTAGTATAATATTAGTTCGAACCTTCACCCATCGTCATGTATAAAATATATCAAACTAAACAAATCACCGAATTCACTAGGAATTTTTCACGATCAAAAACGTCGAATCGCTGCATTACATATTATTTTTTCATCGTCAACGTCTTTTTTTTTTCGATTTTTCTCATCCCTACGGGTACAGGTGAACCGTTTTCGACAGGAATGCAGTCTTATTCGTTTTATGACCCATCCACGATTATCAGTCTATAAAAATATCATAGCGTACGGAACTTGGTTTATCGTTTCTATGGATGGACAGAAGAAGCATGTATAGTATATTAGTTCAATCCATTTTCATTTGTATCAATTCCGTGGAATCTTACATTTAATCCAATACATACATATTTAACACTTAAAATAATAAACGTTGAAAGAATGATTGGAATATTACGTTAATATTATTAAAATTTATGTAACCAATAATTTATAAAATTTATTTATTTGTTATTGATTTGTTTTTTTTTTTTCATTTAGAAATATATATTTTAATATGCTTATTCTTAAGAAAACTAAATATTTAAAAAAATATATAAGTCTTAAAAAATAACCGGTTTGTGATTATGATCATTGCTAAAAACTTATTTTTTTAAATGAATTAAATAATAAATATTAATTTAATAATATCAAATTTTTAATAGCTTTTAAATAAAAATTTTATGTCAAAGGTATAAAATTAAGGTACACAAATATTGCAAACGAAAAAAAAACAAATATCGACTATACATACTATATATATATATATTAACTGTAATATTATTGTTGAAATAAAAATTAACATAATATATAGTAATACACATGTTAATTTTTTTAAGCTTCTTCTTTATTATTAGCAATAAAATATTTATTGATATAGTGAAAACTTTTGATTTAAAATAACGACATAGTCAATCTTATCTTCTGATATATTCATATATAATTAACTTGTACAACGCGATATTTCTAAAATAAACCATCAAGCCTCTTATAGATTTTAAAGTCTTGCAATTTCAACCGTCGGATTACGTAGTAGATTACAATATAGCCACCATCAAGTCATCAATTATTTTCCAAACAGCAATATTATAAATAATAAATCATTTGTGGGTAACGACTTTAGCGATAAAATCGCCTGAATGTTTAGAACATGCATGCGTGTTTATCGTTAGAACTTAAACGATTGCGGATCACCTAAAAGCGTCTTGCAACATTAACTATTAATCTTGTATGAAACTATTATACGCTTATATTTACATTTAAACTTGAAATAATGTTTATAACATTATGTTGTTAAGATTTGATTTTAGCTAAATATGGATGAAATAAAAACACTATTTCGTCATTTCTCGGATGATTAGACGAACCACGTTTCGGACGTATTTAATATTATAATATTATATCATCAAATTTGTAAAGTGGTAATATAAATATAATTGAAATGTATATTTCATACCTACTATTAATATTATAATGATAGCTAACGACCTAATTTCAAACAAAAAAATCGTCTAATTTTTTAAGATATTATCGGTATAAAACAAGAGTTGGATTTGTCTTTGAATTTATTGTTTTATAATATTATCTTGACCAAAATCAACATTTCTGATTTTCATAATACTTTTTAGATTTATTTTTAAATACGTAGGTCAAATTAAATTTGAACTCAATTCGTAGTTTAATATTTGTTGGATACGATTAATTTTTATCGACGATTAATCAACAAGGACATTTGCAGATTCTTTTGATAAAACTGGATTCGATATGTATTAATAGTATAGTTATAAAAGAATAATATATATCAATTTTTATGATAATCTATTTATACGATACCTCAACACCAGATACAATACTAAATTTATACATTTAATTATAATAATTTACACAACTAATAGATAATCAAAACAAACCTATTATATTGATCAGTCTCGTGGTTTCTTTCTCCTGGCAATTTGTTATGAAAACTTGTGCTTTTTCCTCTACTGTTAAGGATCTCCCCTTAAGATATTTATGTGAAAAACATATCTTTACTGATTTTATCTTTAGCCTTAACATAGCGAATACAATTAGAAATTATTAAATATTTATAACTCATTATTGCAAAACGAAATATTTAAAATTTTTATTTTTGTTTATCAATTATAAACTATATTTTAATCATACATTGCATATTATTATGCAATAGTATACGAGTATAAGTATTATTAGTGTGTAAAAATGTACTACATGCACCACGAGAGTACTGAGCCTCTCATACATTAATTATAAAACAACTCCACTAACACTATTCATTTTTTATCTACCAACTATCGCCGATTTATAATATATATATATATATATATATATTTTAATATAGTTATTTATTTTTCCATCAAGGTACATATCCGGTGGCGCCATTCTGTTCTCAAAATGGGAATCCTGGGAGTTCTTCGACGGGTCATACTTCTGTTTCATATCGCTGAGCACAATCGGATTCGGCGACTTCGTGCCGGGTAATAGCATCACTGGTTCTGGCACCGAAACAATCCCTGGAACTGGCACTAATCCTAGCACTAGTACCACCGGAATCCGCACTAGTGCCGGTACAGTCATCGAACTCAGTTTCATACTGTGTTCCATGTACTTAATGCTGGGCATGGCCCTGATCGCCATGTGCTTTAACCTGATGCAACAGGACGTCGTGATGAAAATCCGAACGTGCACGGACATTGTTCGAAGGATCAGCAGGTGTAAAAATTGATCCACGTACTGTTGACGACAGACCACAATCGTGGCAAAACGTTTCGCATAAGTCGCACGATTTAATTGATGTATAACCCGTCCAGTTCGTCTTGACGCACGAAAAAAGTTATGTTAAATAAAAAAAAATAAAAAAATAAAGTAAAAATTGATTCGGAAATCGCAATATTTTTTTCAATAGGTATAATAAAATGTTTAGACCAATGATTTTTTTTTTTTTTAAATAACTTTGACACAATTTTCGAGTGCCAAGATGAGATGGACAGGTGTTAGTAACATAACCGCGACGTTGCCGAGCCAAACAAAGATCGGTAGTCGTATTCAGCAGTACTCGACTGACTCGACGTTTTGGTACACGTCAGTCTTGGGTTTCGACAGAGTGGTGTATACAACTTATAACATCGACAGAAACGGAACGGATGCCCATTAAGTTTAACACATTTTTGTATTGTACTATTTTTAGATTTTTTTAATGTATTTTATCCTATTTTTTCTCTCGTTTTGTTTTGTTCCACTTATCCAGTTCGTGTAAATAAAAGTCATTATGTTTTACTTTATATGTTGGGTTTTAGTTTACCGCGAGAAATTAACAGTCTGACCAGCGTGCTTTGAAACAAAAATACATTTATCTTACCGTCATAGGACTGGTAATCTCATACACACTCCTCTGCCACGGTAAAACTATGCGGTTTTCATTTTCTCCGTGTTCCTGCGGTCTCGTCCAAAGTCAACCCTTGTATACATTATTATTATTACAATATCTCTGTATTTAATTCATTACTTGAAAATGGGTTATTAAGTGAGTCGCCGAACCTGAATACGTACCATTTATGCGTATGACAAAACAGAAGATACCTCGCTTGTCCCAAACACCGACCAAAATTATTAACTAAAATTAAATAATAAAATATCATAAATTTATCATGTAGACCCGTACATTACCTGCAACGAATTCAGATCGTTATATTATCGTTATATAAATTACGACAATATAATATAATTACGATATATACGACAATAAATTATTAAAGATGACTATAAAGCTATATGTTAAGCTTTAATATGTTGTTATTGTTATTTTTTTTAATAAAATATTTATTTTTATTGAAATCATGCGGGTATTTATAAACAAATATTTTCTTCGAATCAATTGTCAGTTATTATAGATGACGGTTATACTATACGTATAGATGAACCAAAAATACGATGTAAATATATTTATAAGTAGTATAAAATATTATGATATAGTAAGTAACCATGGTATTGTAATATGATATAGATGCGTTAGAATATAATGTCTTTAACGTTTCTAGTAAATCGTTGATATTATGATTTCCACTTAACAAAATAAAAAAAAATTATAATATTATACGAGTATATCATCATATATGAAAAATATATATAAATAAGAAAATAATTGTATATATAAATTATATATTACTAGAAAAAACCCTAGAAGTCCTCATTTTTCCATATGTTTTTTTATTTCAAGCATTATATAATGCATAATGATAATATATAAAATAATAAGTATATTTAGTTCTTAATAAAAATAAAAATCTACTGCTTGAATCATGTATCAATATCTTCCAAATACTTTATGTGAACCTTAAATCTTTAAAGCTTAACTGTATAATATTTATGTATATAAAGCGATTTCTTATATAAATATGTGAAATGCTTGTACCAATGTATGCAAAAAGTATGATTTCAATTTATAACATTATAATTCTTTTTTTACGAAAAAAAAATTCTTTTAAAACTTTAAAATTATTTAAATTAAAACTACTAAAAATTTCATACTTAAATCTTTTTGATCTTTAAAATATTTTATTCAAACATAAAACACACAAGAAAGCTATCAATGATAAGCAGTAAATTTGAGTACTCTCACTGGTGAAAGTTTAACCTAAAATATTTACTAACTGTGCTTTTCTAAAAAAAAACCGAAAAAAATAAGCCCATTCACAACATTTGTATAAAAAAAATACAGTTACATTTAAAATTGTTTTAAATTTAAATCTATTCATCTTAAGAAATTGATAGAGTGGACTACAAATGTCTGAACGAAATTACGCCTATAAATAAATCTTATCAAAATGATATATCATTGTCTAAAAATAATCCCAAGACAATATAAAATATTGTTTATATGTAAGTGTTTGATATAAGATGGTGCCCGCATTTTTTCATAATTACCTATAAAGCCTAAAACAATACTTAGTCCAAATGTAAAGAGTTATTGTTTTTGTTATTATTATGCACAATAAAAGATGCCAGAAAACCGGAACAATATAATTATATATTTATTTTAGAATTAGAATTGAGTTTTAAGCATACATAATTAAGTGTCTTGACTCACATTTACATACATTTTATGTATTTATCATGATATCAATTAAAATGAAAATGTAAATAATAGATAATAATAGTATTTACATCCATGGCCCCAAAAATGTCAATCATTTTAAAATTAATTATACTTTTCTATTATCTGTACTAAATTATACACTAGTACTATTATTTTTGCTTGTTAAATAAAAATTCTATTATGAAAGCATTCAATAAAATAAGTGTTAATTTTAAACTATTCTTTTGATTACGAAAACAATATAATATATTCATCATGTTCATCAAATTTGTATTATATTATTATAATTCATGATATACATGTTGTAGGTAATATGGTCAAATCAGTCATTTTATTAAATGCCTAGACATATAGTCAAATAATTTAATGTTTATGCGATTTCACTATCTGCCTAGACATTTATTTAAATGCCTAGTCATTTAACTAAATGCCTATTTCATGCCAGGCAAATAATTAAAAAAAACATTTGTATTATTTTAAAAATTTAAATATATTTTTTATCAGTTATTTATTGTTATTTTATATATAAAAAAAGTATGTTTTATTTATTGATATGAAAAACACTTAGGTATATGAAATAATATGCTTAATTCTGTGTTCATTATTATTTAGTATTGTTTTAAAAATAAAATCATAAATATATATATAAGTAATAACTAATAATATGTGATAGACATAAATGGTAGTACGAGTATATTGTATAGCCTATAGTCAGTATAATACGAATAGTGAGTACTATATATTCTTATTAAATAAAAATAAAAGTTCTATTGGTTTTTACCTTGGAAAATTAACGTAGGTACTAGGTTGTATGAGAACCTTATTTATATTGAGTACCGTGGGACGAATTATAATCTTATCGATTATAACGACATACATATGACGTTACGAAAAAAGATACAGAACATGCGATTGAATTGTACAATAATTTAGTTTAATACGTGTATTACGTTTACGTAAATTGTATGTAGTGTGATAATAAGTAATAGGTAACAAAAACTTGTAGTTATAATATAACTTTTTTATTTATTTTTTATGATTTCATTTTTAAAATAATAATAATAGTGGACACAAAATTAAACATATTATTTCATATACCTAAGTGTTTTTCATATCAATAAATAATACATACCTTTTTTATATATAAAATAGCAATAAATAACTGATAGAAAATATATTTAAATTTTTAAAATAATACAAAATATTTTTTTTATTATTTGCCTGTCATGAAATAGGTATTTAGTTAAATGACTAGGCATTTAACTAAATTTCTAGGCAGATAGTGAAATTGCATAAAAATTAAATTATTATATGCCTACGACATACACATATAATAATACAAAAACAAAATCCATAGACTTGTGTCAAAACTTTGTAGATTATAAACTTTAAAAATAAACTTAAAATCTTTCTATATTGAAATATCCTAAGACATAATGTAGTTTTAGTAAATATTAACTTTTTCTTAAATAATTAATCATAATTTTCAATCTTAAATATATTTATTTTTGAGCATAATAAAATAGTTTAATAAAATGCAATCTATACATATGTATATTTTTCCTGGTCTATCGATAACCCTCTTTATATTCAATCTCTTAATATAAAATTTTTCCTAGCATTTAAAGACACACAATATACTATGGTTTTTATAAAATTATGTGAATTTCTAATATAAACATCCATGTTATAATTTGATCTGTTTAAGTACGCAAAACTATAATATCGATTAGAATAATTTTATTTTTCTATTAATAATCACAATTTATGTTTCTATCTGTCTAGGTTTAATACTGTACAACGAGTTTTAACTATTATTTTAAATATTTTAAATATATGACACTGAAAAAAATATAGTATAACCAGAAAGTACTAAAATATCTATAAATACATTTGTTACGAAAAAAAAAAAATGTTATAGGACAAAAATGGAACACCAGAAATACAAATCATGCAAAACGATATACCTCGAATGCTCATTCACATCCAAGTAACTATACAATACGTGATTGTAAATTTAATATTAATAAACTTTTAGACTAACTTATCAATAGTAATAATATGTTTAAGAGTATAATAATTTTAGAACGATAAGTAAAAAATATATATTTTTATACTTAAAATGTTATCTATCGATATTATAATTGTCTTATTATACTAAAATCCAATTAATTCGAACGTTATTTATACATCATCATACTGTTTTTAGTGATTTATAATATCTATTACTTTCCTAATATTATTTATATGTAGATTTACTAAACACAAATATGAATGATAACTTAAAATAAGTTTTTTTTTTTTTTTTTTTTTTTTTTTTTCAATCCGAAGATTGGTTAAATGATTATTGATGTTTCCCTCCACTTGTCTCTGTCACTTATAAAAATAAGTTAAAATAAGTTTATTAAGAATAAATTATTTTAAAAACAATTAAAACCATTGTTTAGTAATAGGACAACAATTTGACAAATTATAATCATATAATTTATCTACTCACCAAGTTATTTTTCTTGGTTAATAGTATGGAACTTACGATTCCCATCAGTTAAAAAATTTCAGTGTCCCAAAATACTATATGATTTTGTATGGAATTTTTTTTATTGCGCAATTTTAATTCACTAACAGTGTCTACATAAAAATAAATAAATGAAAAGCCAGAAAGAAAACGGAAATCAATTATTGGGAATTAATTTCAACACAGCACACTCATATAATGTAATATTTATTTTAAATTTTTAATTAATTATGTAATACAGTAATATGAACTAATTCAAATATATTCTGATTGGCTATATTTTGTGATAATTTTAAATCATTTGGATTATTAATTTTTTTTTTCTAATTACAAAAAACTTAATTAATTTATAAAACATAATATCATATGTAAAAAAATTATAGTGTACAAAGTATATTATTATTAATGTTTAATCAATCATGTGATTGAAAGAATAACGTGTAACTAAAAAAAAATCCAGTTTTTATATTATTTAGAATTATTATTATTACTATGAAAATGAATACTTCACATCTCAGTCGTTCTAAAAAATAAAAATAAATATAAATTTAATGTAATAATTTATTGCAAATTATTTAGTACAACAATATTAACAAATATTTAATTAAACGACAACTTTCATTGATTGACTTAAATAAATGTCGTCAAATATAGTACGTTATGCAAAAATA